AAATGAATTATTCGCTGCTCTCTCTCTTTCAGACCCAAAAATGCATGAAATTTTCAAGTATGCACCAGAAATAACACAAACAGGATTTAATAATATATATGCATGCTATGATCTTGGAGTAGCTCATCTTCAAGAAATTTTGCGACAGGACGTATATAAGGTTGAACCAAGAAATACAGTGGGCTGTAAAAAACACAATTTAGTAGTACACAAGCTGCTTTCACTATTAGAATACCAAAAAAAAGAAATACAAATAAATAAACTAACAAGAAATAGCAATTCACAAAACAGTCAGATTGAAAATAACAATGTAAGTACCAGGCTATTGTATGAACAAACAGGTACAAAATGTCAACGTAGAGCTATGAATGATAATGAAAAAAAAGTTCTTGAGGATTTACTTAAATATGATACCTTTCCTGAAGATAAAGCCATCGAAATCTTAAGACAACTTCAGGAACAAAGTAATGATTGGGACATGCAACGTGTTCAAATCTACTGGAATAATAATCACCACAACAAGAAAAAAAAGTTTCTTCTGATATATAAACCAAGGGTATAGATTTTATAACTATAAAACGGTCCATATTTTTCATAGTGAATTTATAGTGCACAAGAATGATTCGACTTTCAAAAAACTTATACTTCTATTTGGCCACAGAATTATAATAATTACTATTTGAATGTTAATTTTGTGTAATACTGGGTGATATGGAAAAAACTTAAAGGTAATCCGATTAAGAAACAAAATAAATTTACCATTACCGTTACCTTCATTCAATTAGATTACGGTTCAAGGATTGAACCTGTTCAGGGTCTTTGAATTTAAGGGATAGTTATTTTATAACGACTGTAGGTATTAAATTTAGTACCATTGTTTTGTTATCATTATTATTATCATATTTTAAGATTTAATCATATATTCAATGAAATTTAAAATAGAATTTTTAGTTGTATCAGTATTATTTGAACAATATAAAGATAATTTTAATATATTTACCATTATCCACTGCTTACATTACCTGGGATCTTATTCAAGAACTCTGTTTTTAAAATTGAATAGTACCATGGGTACTGTGTGAAGAACCGGATACTATATTTGGGAATAAATCATATTAAAAGTAATAAATCGATAGAGTCATACTCGAGTCTTATTCAAAGAAAGGACAGTAATACCTAGGTCTTAATCATGGTGGTATTATTTTAGAGAATACTGTAAGCAGTGGTCAATGGTAATTGTTTGAATAACTTTGTGTATTATCTTCTAGTGATTTTAATATATATCATTTAATCTCAAAGGCAATTTTTAAATTCGATCTACACTTGGAATAAAAGGAATAAAAGCAATTATAATCTTTGAATTCGGAATGCACATGGTAGTATGAAGTTTGGATTCAGATTGTGGTCACGTATTGATCTAGTTTTTTTTGGCTCAATTGTTTTAAATGTAAAACTCAATATAAACATGTAGTTCATATTATTAGTTTTCATATTTATAAATTTTTATAAATTGATGTGTACATCAAGTTGATTTTATTTTTAGGAATTTTATCATCTGACTTTCTTGTGGGCTGTTATTTTTTGTTAGCCCCCTTTTGTGTTTCCTTTTTCTGATTTTCTGTTAATGAATTCAGCTTTTGCACTATATTATGTCTTCTGCGACCTTCTGGATTCCCTCATTCAGTCTTGTACACATTTTGTTGTAGAATTTTCTGAAGACGAAATGCTCCAAAATTGTAATATGCATATATATTAGAAAATTCTGCTGGTGTTATTTCTGGTGCATACATGAAAATTTCGTACATTATTGGATTCGAAAAAGAGAGGGCGGTAAATAATTCATCTGCTAACTTCCATACTTTAATAGTAACTATGTCATCTGTATATTCAGAAATCAACAACTCTAGTCGTTCTCTTTCTGCATGTGCAGAACTAATTTGAAGCTTCAATTCCTCTGCATCTACCACCTTGCCTCTGATATTTTGTTTTACAAACAGAACTCCAAAATGTTCTAACACTTCATCAAAGACGAAAAAGTGTTCAGGTCGGGTTAGATTAATGGAGTAGATGCATCGGAGTAATTCTTGGAGGTGCAGATCCTCATCAGTATAAGATAAAAAATGGGTTACTGAATTAGCATAATTGATTTTGCCAGCAACCGGAAAGAGGGTGCAAATGTAGCAAGATTCTTTATTTGCATATCATAGTTTCTCCAACGCATACTGATTTTATGCCCAATCTAGCAAAGTAATGGTAACAAACTCTGAGTCTATCATTCTTACTACTTTGATTTTTGATTTTCAAATACTTAAATATTGCAATGCAAATAACAACCCAAATAAACTTCAAGATTCGACTAGTAGCCTAGTAATCCACAATGCTTTCGAGTATATCTAAAAACTGAACTCTGAGCTTTACAGTCATATTGGCAACTTTTTTTTTGCCCTCATCGATAGCTTCAGCCATCCGTAAAATCCAATGCCACAAAATTTGAAGTTTATCGCTCTCATCATTCTTATGTGTATCTTTATATTCAAAGTTTGGTTTTCCATAGTCTTGGCGTTCATAAAAATGTTCTTGTCTGACAAAACATTTGGAATACACGTCACAGGGTATTTAGATATTCTCCTCAAAAACATATTGTGAATGCTGTACGCAAGTCTTACTTCTACTAAAA